TATCTGTGATATGAACAGAAGCAGGTCCTATGTTAGTATTCTTATTATTAGATTTGTGTTTGCATTTTCATTGTAAAGCACTATTTTAGTTTTTCTCTAGGAGCTCTGGCTGGGCTGAAAGCAACAGGTGGTTGGTGGTGTTTAGGGAAGTTTTCTAATACTCATATAATTTTTTTTAAATACTGGACATTTTTAAGACCTAGGCATTCAAATACCTGGAAGATAGTTTTCCAGCATTTAACAATAACCACAACATTACATATTTTTCAAATACAGATTTCATAGAACATTAGTCAATTATGTGAATTAGTGCCTTTTGGGTACATTGAAACCATGTGCAATAACACCTCTTAAACAAAGTTTCATATTTTTACTATACAGAATTACTGCACATGCATGGTGTAGTACACATGATATATCACCAAACATGTATTTGCTTTTCAGGACACATATTCTTGACAGTGCATTTAGTCTATTCATCCAGTCATCTTCATTATGAATGTAGATATATACGATAAACCATAACAACCATTACAATTTGTTAAATCAGTATGCTTTGTTTAGAAAAAAGTAAACCCTAAATACCTATTTACATGATACACAGCAATGACAATGGAGTCCAGTAGTAGATATTTTGTACAGGCCTTAACAGCTGTTCCTACCATGTGAACTCTTATACATCTCCTTGAGGTTCATTTTTAGCAGTAGATTTTAATAAGAAGTTCACACACAAATATTTAAAAGTATCATCAGTGGCCTGATTTAAAACATAGAAAGTAATTTATAAAGAATTAAGGCTAATACTTTATCCTTAGCTCTCTCTAATGGGTTTGAGTATTGGAGAGATTGCTAAAAATGTACTCCCTGGTTCTGCAAACGCTTATGGCTAGTATTTGGCTAGTCCCTATTAAAGCACATGAATAAGTATGTGATGAATCAGGACCTTATTTGCACTACTGTCTTATATTACATGCTCAATAAAAGTGATGGGTGTGAGACTTTTAAAAATTTTCTTGGATTATTTGAATATAGTTTTGGCTCATGATTGCAGTACCGCACGGGCAACAAACATTCTCCAAGGTGCTGTGTTAAGATCATACGCTACGCAAGTTGAAAGTGTACAGGACTAGATATTTAAACTTTTAGGTGCTTGTCATGTCTAAAGCCTGAGTAGTAAATTACTGGAAGGTGAAACCATCCAATAGTAAAGCATAGGAGGTTCCAACCTGAATGGCCAGCTAGTGAGCAGTGCATGGAGAGGAATCAAGCTCTGAACAGTATTGATTCAAAGCAACAGAATGTTTATATCAAAGTGGGTTTGGAATGACCCAAATGGCTCATGTTTTCAAGGCCATTTGGGTTCAAGTTTCCACCAAAACTATTCACATAAATCAAACCAAATTCTCTTTTGAGGATCAGAAACACTTTGGTCTTGTGAGAATCTATTTTCCTGAAATTCTGAGACCAATTTGGTAAACCCATGTGGCTCCAACAGTCTGATTAAACAGCCAACTTTTATCTGAAATTTCTAAACACTTGGGAGCTGTGTCTACATAGCAAGATTTTGCGCAAAAGCAATTGCTTTTGAGCAAAATTTTGCCAATGTAGACACAGCTCCCAAGTGTTTAGAAATTTCAGATAAAAGTTGGCTGTTTAATCAGACTGTTGGAGCCACATGGGTTTACCAAATTGGTCTCAGAATTTCAGGAAAATAGATTCTCACAAGACCAAAGTGTTTCTGATCCTCAAAAGAGAATTTGGTTTGATTTATGTGAATAGTTTTGGTGGAAACTTGAACCCAAATGGCCTTGAAACATGAGCCATTTGGGTCATTCCAAACCCACTTTGATATAAACATTCTGTTGCTTTGAATCAATACTGTTCAGAGCTTGATTCCTCTCCATGCACTGCTCACTAGCTGGCCATTCAGGTTGGAACCTCCTATGCTTTACTATTGGATGGTCTTTTGGAGGCTGAGGAGCAGGTTGTGCAACTTTCAGGTTTCAATAGAGAGACTAGGTAACAGTGTCCTACTGCAGATATTGAAAGCCCTGCTGAGAAGCATCACTTTCTGGAAACTGTTTTGAATATCTAGTTCCTAACAAGTTGGGAACTGCAGCTTCTCAGAACAAGTCTGATCCCGGACCACTGGAATTAGAGGGACCATTGTCATTTTACTTAATGGGACCAGAAATAGACCCTATGTACCTAGGCCCAGATTCTTCCAAGATATTTAGACCTTAAAGATGCAAATAGATGCCTAGTGGGATATATACAAGAGCGTAGACACTTCTCAATGGAGATTTGGTGCCTATGCACATCTGAAAATCCCACTACCCGTTACTGAATCTTTCCACACCTAAATACTTTTAAAAATCTGACCTGAAGCAATGTAATGGTTGGGTTAAACAGTATTTGCCAAATCATACATTCATACCTGTGGGGATAGATCCTCACAGCTCTATTGAAGTGAGTAAAAATATGATGACTTTATGCCAGTTGAATATTTGGCCTTTATATTCACTACAATGGTAAGTTTCAATCTTTTGTGTTTTTTTTCTTGAAATGCATTATTAACCCAAATACACCTGTTCCATTGTTGTTAAGACATAGATTCTATAAACCTCTGTCAAAGGACAATGAACATAAAAGAAGCTCGTGCTTTTAAAAGGCTACATGCCATACTGGGCTAAATTTTCATAGATATCCACTGAAGTTCTGCCTTCAAAGCACAGAGTTTCATGGTAGGTAATTGGATATGTATGTGAAAAATGAATACAGAATTGCAAAATTAAAACAATAAACTGCATATTATACAGGCAATTATGCAACTTTTGCCAAAGCAGTGGTGTTTACTGAGCACATTTTATACATTTTTTTTAAAATTACTCAAATAGTTCAAAATAACAACTGTATGTAAAACATACATACACAGTTGTGCTTCTGACAGGAAGACTATGATTCCGCTTCATGGTCAGAGATAAAGTATTGTGCATTCCATCATTATTCTAACTCACTGGAACAAAAGTATCATATAGTGTATATGATAATAGACAGACACCTAGTAACTTGAATGTACATTCATCACTCAGGCACATATTTTAGAAAACTTTGCCCATTGCCTGTAAGAATTCAGCTTAAAATCTAGCACTTAATGAGCCATTGAATCATATTTCTAGCATCCTATAAAATATCAGCAAAAAGTTAAGATATTACTTTTATTTTTTTATATTGAATCAGTTTATTGAGCACCAGAATTTACAGCTCTAGCTTGTCTCGGATGCTAGAAATATGGCAATGTATAAGATAGCTATATCAAGTTTTTAAAAAATGCAAGTATGAGGAAATTAAATTTGCTTCCCTTTTAAGGTTAATTCTGGAAGAAAGGCACCATGAAAGAAAGATAAATTGCTACACAACATACAGGGGGAGAAATTTATTGCTCATGATGACACATGAATCAACCATGGACTGGGTGTGACACGCAGTTGTAATGAAACAAACCTGTCTATATTCTTCTCTGTCTTTTACTAGCAACCTTAATCGTTCTACTAGAAGTTAGCTCAAAGGTCATCTCACTCTTTTTGAATGATTGCTCTTCTTAAAAAGTTAATCTGTGGGGACAGTATTGAATATTTAACCAGTCCTATTGTGGTTTTGCATGCAAAATTCCTATTGACTTCAGTAGCAGT